CTGCCCCGGGCCACAGCAGAGAGCTGGCCTGGAAGAGTAGCAATGGGGACAGAATCTGGCGCCCCGACTGGGCTGACAGCACCGCAGGTGGAGGATTAGCCTAGTGAGCCATGGCGCCAGCCTTGAATTACTTTTTACTATGGTGTAAGACACCATGCATGTGGCTGTCCAGTTTTCCCATCACTGTTTATTGAAGAACATTTCCTTTCCCAACTATATATGCTTGATATTCTTGGCAAGGGTTAGTTGACTATATATTCATGGGTTAATTTCTAGATTCTCCTGTTCCTTTATTCTTTCTTATTTCTTTTTTTAATTTTTTATTTTTTGACAGGCAGAGTGGACAGTGAGAGAGAGAGACAGAGAGAAAGGTCTTCCTTTTGCCGTCGGTTCACCCTCCAATGGCCACTGCAGCCAGCACGCTGCACCGGTGCATCGCGCTGATCCGAAGCCAGGAGCCAGGTGCTTCTCCTGGTCTCCCATGTGGGTGCAAGGCCCAAGTACTTGGGCCATCCTCCACAGTACTCCCTGGCCACAGCAGAGAGCTGGCCTGGAAGAGGAGCAACCAGGACAGAATCCGGTGCCCCGACCGGGGCTAGAACCCGGTGTGCCGGTGCCGCAGGCGGAGGATTAGCCTATTGAGCCGCGGCGCTGGCCAGCCTTCGATGATTCTAATGTCTGTCCCCCGGACACTAGAGAAAGAGGTGTGAAAAGCATGTACTTGGAAAAGAGAGTGATAAAGTGCAGAGGTTAGCCTTTCCTTAAACTTTGACTATATTCTAAATTCTCTTTCCATGGATCACATGTCTGGGCAAAGGTTTAAGTTCTCTAGCTTAGTGGGCCAAAAAGTCAATTTGATGGGGCAAGTGATCTTTCCTCTCTTGCATCTGGCTTAAGTTTTCAAAATATGTAGATTTGACAGGAATTGGAATTTAGTACTTTCCTATACTTAGTATGGATCTTAATTTTTCTTGAAACCCTTGTCAGTGCCGTGACTTCTCCCTTGTTGGATTTGGTTACTTTTTTTTTTTTTCAGTTCTTGGTTTTGATAGATGCTATAGAGGGCAAAGGAAAGATGCACTTGCGCTGTCAGTTTTCTGTGAGTTTGCTTTTAATGTAGTTGCAGGGTCAGTTGTTAAAATATTAATATCCATTATTAAAATGTTCAAGCATTTATCATTTCAGTGATTGAACTAAGGGCTTTTTAAAGTCAATTTAGAAATAATCTCTTAAGATTACTTTATGTAATTCTTACTATCGAATTTTGCTAGTTTTATGTAAAGAATTATGGGGCTGGCTTGTATATTTTGTCTTCCTTTGTGCCCTTGGATTTGGGACTGAAATTCTGAATTCAAGTTTTGTGTTCTGTTTTTCTTTGCTACTATCCAAAAATCACTTAGATTCTGCATTTTAATGAGAATATGAAACCTTTGCTTTTGTTTCTAAAACAAATCCTTCATGGATTCTAATAAATTCACATGAGATTCAAAGAAAAAATGGGAGGTTTCAAAGGAGTGTTGTGTTGTAGCACTTCTCTAGGTACTGCTCTGGGAAATTGTCACTGCTGCCACGTTACTCTGCTCTCACGGTCAGGGGGAATAATCACTTTGCCCTTCCGTTTGTATAATCACATCAATTTGGTAGGTTGACTTCGAACCTTTACTAAAAGGTTCAGGTGTGGTACCTCAAAAATTGTTTTGCCAAATAGAAGTTGTAATTTTAATTCAAAAAGTTGGCCTAATTTTTCATTTAGCTTAGTATTGTCATGTCATTCAGGGGACTATCTGCCTTTCCTGCTGGCTGGAGTCTGAAGATCTGCTGCCTGCCTACCTTACACCATGCTTCCTATAAAACAACTGCCTAGATTTGGATTCTCATAAGAATGTTAGTTTATTCTAGTTTTACCAAAATGCCTTCATCTTTTTTTTTCTTTGAGTTGAACTACATTTAACCCGCTGCACCACAGTGCCGACCCCAGATTTTCATTGATTAAGAATAACCACTAAAATAGTGAATTCCTAGATTTTAACCATATGAGAAATCAGTAGACCTCGTGTATAATATATTATATGTGCATGATCAACCTGTCACTTGTGTTTTTGAGTTTTGTTTTGTTTTTCAAAAGATTCATTTATTCATTTGAAAGGTGGTAGAGTTACAAATAGAGGCGGAAGCGGGGTGTGTATGTGTGTCTTCCATCCGCTGTTTCACTCCACGAATGGCCACAATGGCTGGAGCTAGGCCCATGAGGAACCAGGAGCTTCTTCTGGCTTCTCCACACAGGTGCAGGGGCCCGAGAACTTGGGCCATCTTCTGTTGCTTTCCCAGGCCATTGCAGAGAGTTGGATCAAAAATGGAGCAGCCAGGACTCAAACTGGTGTCCATGTGGGATGCTCGCCCTGCAAGAAGTGGCTGTACCTGCTATGCCACAGTGCTGGCCCCATTTGAGCTACTTAATGGGGTTCATGTCATTCAATAAAATTGGCTTTTTCTTATTGTCACCATACTGAAATTTATCTCATTGCTTTGAGTTATGCATAAATTCATCTTCTAGTGGTCATATTACTAGCTTTTTCTTATCTGTAATTTAGCTGTGAATCTGTAAAATATTTTTTATGCCTGAAAAGTAGAAATTGTATCATAGGTCTAAGATTTTAAAAATTGGGTTATTTTTCTTTGTTGTCATTTGAGGGTCCTAAGCCTACCCCCAGGTTTAGTGATTCTCAAACACTCGGTCTGAGGTGGTGTATATAGTCACTGTCACGGCTGTGACTTAACTGCTAGGAATGAGGGTGCAAAACAAAAGGGATGAGACAAAGTAGAAGAATCAGGGTGCAGTAACCCCCCCACTGCTGGACTGAAACCAACTGTGTCTGACTTGATTCTTCTTCAAACAAATAGTGACAACTCTTATGGAATGCTGTATACTGGAAAATCTCATTAGAGTGAGTGCCCAAGATTTGGATTTGGCCATTTAGATAAGTATACTTTGCTTAACATGTACCACAATTCCAAATGTAGAATTGGATATCAGGTGTTCAACCAGCATAGGAACAGCGAGCAGTTAGAGATCTGAGAACTCTTCTGAAATTCCACGCCTGCTGAGGCCATGCCACACAAGCCGGCCTTGGTAAGGTAGCAATGTGAGGTCTGCTCTGTTAGCTTTCCTGCACACTGAGCTTATTTTTGACTGATGGTACTTATCAAAAAAATCAGTTAACTTTAGAGGCAATGAGAGAAGCAGCAGCCACCTGCTGGTTTACTTCCCTAAATGTTTGCAGTTACTGGAGCTGAGCCACAAAAGAGCCGGGAACCCAGTTCCAGTCCCTCATGTGGGTGCCAGGGACCCAGTCTTGTACTCTGTGCATTAGCTGGAAGCTGGACTCAAACAGCTAGGACTGAAATCCAGGCACTTGACTATGAGATGATTACATTCCAACCGACTTCTTAACCACTGAGCCACTCATCTTTAACTGATTTCTTCTTGATCGTGTTCATTCTTACTGGCATTTATTGAAGGATTTACTTATTTCCTATTGTATTAAAGGTATTACTTTTTTATAAAGTAAGTTAATACGATCTAACAAGATAAGTAGAAGAAACATCGGGTATCTCCTAGCATCAAGCTTCTTGGGGACTTTATTTTTTGTAATATTTGCATTACCTGTTAGTAACCATGTTAATGACATCAACGGGCTTTTGGGTCTTGGAGTCTGCATATAGCTCCCCTTGCAGTCTTTTTTGACAGAGTTAGACAGAAAGGTCTTCCATTGGTTTACTCCCCAAATGGCCGTTATGACCGGTGCTGTGCTGACCCAAAGCCAGGAGCCAGGTGCTTCTTCCTGGTCTCCCATGCAGATGCAGGGCCCAAGCACTTGGGCCATCCTCCATTGTCTTCCCAGGCCACAGCAGAGAGCTGGCATGGAAGAGAAGCAGCCGGGACTGGAATCTGGTGCCCATATGGGATGCTGGCCCCACAGGTGGAGGATTAACCAAGTGAGCCATGGCGCCGGCCCCTCCCTTGCAGTCTTAAACCTTAACCATTGTTATCCTATTATTTCATCCACAAATGTGTATTGTATGTATGCCAAAGTCAGTCTAATACCATTGACGTCTAATGGAAAAATACTTCCAAATTCACAACTGTGTGCTACCTTTCTCTTGGATTCCTAGTTTTACATAGATCTGTTGACCATTTCCACTTGGATAATCTGAAACTTTTATAGTCATAATCTCTAAGTATACATTCCCTCTTACCATTTAGTTTTTCCTGTTAATTGAAATAATTCATACTAATTTCTGGTCTTACCTGGTTCTGACTGCTGATTCATAAATGACTGGACCATTTAATTTACTCTGCTGCTTTCAGTTTTGTTTATAAGTGTAACCAACCTCCATACCATTGCCAGCTTTCCTTCCTTCTTTCCTTTCTTTCCAAGTACCAGTTGAATTGTTGCTGAAGGTCCCTAGGTATGTGGAGTGAAATTGAAATACTAACATTAGGCTTTGTAGGGAACCTTTTTATATCATTAACCAAAGTATTTTTGCAAGATTGGACTTTGAGACTTTTCTTTGTGAGGCTTTTTGAAAGCTTGATGCTGTTTCAGTGAAAAATTGACTAGACTATTAAAAAGTGAGGTGCAGAAACTGAAGAGATGGAAGTATATAGTTGGAAAACATACTGCTAGTAGTGACTTTCAGTATTGGGTCATTGGGACTTTTATACTCTGCGCATTGTTTTTTTTCCACTGAAACTTCTCTTTAAAAAGTTTTTCTAGAAATTACACAGGACTTTGTATCCTGCTCATCTAATTAAGCTTTGTTGTTCCATAGGTTATCAGCTATGTAGTATAATAAGTTGCATCTGTAGTAGACTCAGATTTTTTGTGTATTATAAAACTGTATTCCTGATACTGAAGTGTAATAATGGTCTGTAGTATGATAAAAATCAGATGGAATACAATTTACCTGTAATTCACTTTCCTCTTTATTTTTTAAAGGGACCAGTTACTCTCCACAAGAAAATTCACACAACCACAGTGCTCTTCATAGTTCAAATTCACATTCTTCTAATCCAAGCAATAATCCAAGCAAAACTTCAGATGCAGTAAGTATTAATACACATGCCCAATTTTATCTTTTGGAATTCATTACAAAAATCTGATGGCAAAGCTCCTTATATCCAGTCTGTTCTTATGTTCTAACCAAAATTGACGTTTTCTTCATGTATTTATTTGCAACAATAATAACACTCTTTTAAAGTAGTGAGTAAACTTTACAGGTGTTAGTAAAATTGAGGACAGTCAGGAAATACCATCTTGGCATTACCTTAAGCAGAGTTTTGTCTTTGCAATATGTGAGTTACAAAGAACTTCAGATGAAACTTCCATGGTTAAAGTGTTTTAAGACTGAAGTAACTGCTACTCAGTTTGGATTTTTCTATTCAGTGTCCAGATTAAACACAGATTTCTAATGTATTCATTTAACTAGAAATAATTTAAAATGTCATTTTGCTAGGTATATGCTGGAATGTAAGCCTACAGAATGAAGATAATGTGACCCATCTAATTTTAAGAAATGTTTAATACAAAAGCTTGTTTATTTGAAGCGCAGAGTTACAGAAAGGGGCGGAGAGATCTTCCATCCACTGATTCACTCCCCTAAATGGCTGTCACAGCCGAGGCTGCGCCAGGCTGAAACCAAGAGCCTGGGATTCCATCCAGGTTTCCTTCGTGGGTGGTGGGGTCCCAAGTACTTGCGAGGTACCTTCCACTGCTTTCCCACCTGCTTTATTAGGAAGCTAGATCAGAAATGGAACAGTGGGGACTCTAACTGGCACTTGTATAGGATGTTGACGCTGCAAGTGGTGGCTTAAACCGCTGAGCCACAACACTGGGAAGTACCACATTTCAAGGAACTTTTAGACTTGGGGAGATAGAAAAATAAAAAACACAGTGTTTGTTAATGTTGCTCTGGAGGGCACTCAGGATAAAGACCCACAGCTTAGATGAAGAAGATAGAAACTGTAAGTAGCACTTCTTAACAGGTTTAAATATGGCTTAGCCAGTAGAATAGGTGGAACATTGTGTAGCATACAGAGGAATAAGAATAACATGGAAGTATGAGATGGCACGGCATGTTTGAAGAACTGGGAGGATTTGATGATGTGGAAAAATGGCAGGAGCCTAAGATTAGGGATAAGTGTAGTTTAGATGGTAAAATGTCTGTCTTGGCAAGGAATACAAATTATGTACAAAGGCAGTAGAAAGTTATTGAAGGATCTAATCAGTAAAGCAGTATCATAATCAGAAAGTCATCTGAGGTAGCAATGTGGGAAGGTATAGGAAAGAAGCAACAATTAGACAGAAAACCATCGAATGCAGGGGTTTTTTTTTATTTTTTATTTATTTATTTATTTATTTATTTTTGACAGGCAGAGTGGACAGTGAGAGAGAGAGACAGAGAGAAAGGTCTTCCTTTGCCGTTGGTTCACTCTCCAATGGCCACCGCGGCCGGCGCGCTGCGGCCGGCGCACCGCGCTGATCCGATGGCAGGAGCCAGGAGCCAGGTGCTTTTCCTGGTCTCCCATGGGGTGCAGGGCCCAAGGACCTGGGCCATCCTCCACTGCACTCCCTGGCCACAGCAGAGAGCTGGCCTGGAAGAGGGGCAACCGGGACAGAATCCGGCGCCCCAACCGGGACTAGAACCCGGTGTGCCGGCGCCGCTAAGCGGAGGATTAGCCTAGTGAGCCGCGGCGCCGGCCCGAATGCAGGTTTTGCTTGGGTGTTTGAGTGATTTTTATACCTTAATTGGCATGGCAAGACCTTTCGGTTTTTTTTGTTGTTTTTTTTTTGTTTGTTTTTTGTTTTTTGTTTTTTTTTTTTTTTTCTCTCACTGAAGTAGTGTGGATAGAAAAAAGGATATTAAGGTACACATAAATCTAGAATAGTTTTGAGTGTTAGTCTGGGGTCAGTTAGGAAAAATAATTACAGTAGGGTGTTTTAACACAGAACTTAATATACTGGTAAGCAGATATGATAGGTATTAAAAGTTGGGAGGGGGGATAAAAGAGGAGGAAACCAAGAGGGCTGTGGTACAATAGCAGGAAGTTTAGATTTTCAGAACCTGATGGTGAGGAGGTGCCCACAGAGCTGGAGACAGTGCCTCTGAAGCTAGTTCATATGGTGGACTGCACTGGCGAGCTGGAGACCAGAACCCACTGTGGCTTCATCTTCTGGTGTTTCTGGGAGGAAGTGATTTGCATTGTTCCAGCACTTGGACTAACATCAGCATTGCAGAGCAGACTTGAGATGGAATTGAAGCTGAGGGACTTTGGCAGGTGCTACCAGCAAACCGTGTGAATCTTCTTTATTCATGGAAAACAGTCTGTTAATTTACATAAGTAAAAGATTGATTGGTTTGAAAGAGGGAGACAGATTTTCACCTGCTGGTTCACTCCCCTAGATTGCTGCAGCAGCAGCTGATGCTGAACCAAACCAAAATCAGGAGCCATTTTCTTGTGGAAAAACTGAAAGCTGTTGTTTATATGTGATCTGTCATCAACAGCTATAATATTAGAAATTAAAACTGAGCAGGTGCTGTGGCATACAGGGCTAAGCCTCCACCTGCAATGTAGACATCCCTTATGGGCACCCGTTCATGTCCCAACTGCTCCTCTTCCAGTCCAGCTCTCTGCTGTGGCCTGGGATAGCAGTAGAAGATGGCCCAAGTGCTTGGTCCCCTGCACCCAAGAGACCTGGGAGAAGCTCCTGGCTTCCATTTGGGAATGAACCAGCAGATGGAAGACCTTTCTGTCTCTCCCTGTCTATCTGTAACTCTACCTCTTAAATAAATCAGTCTTTTTAAAAGAATTAAAACTGAGCGATAGTTGATCTGACTTAAGATGCTGATCGGAATGCCTTTATCACATATTGGGAACTTTTCCCTCCCCCTAGCATTAGATTAAGATAGGAACATGTGGTTTCTTGCTAACTCCCATGGGTTCAAGTCTTGGCTCCACTCTACATTGAAGCTTCCCACTGCTGCATGCTCTGAAGGTATCAGTTGATGGCTCGAATGGTTGGTCTCCTGCCACCCTGCATGGGAGATTTAGGTGGAGTTCCCATCTGCTGCAGGCCTTTGTGGAATGAACCAGCTGCTTGGCACATGCTCTGTGTCCTGTCAGAGTAAAATCTTTAAAACCATAAACTTAAGAGATTAAAATCATTTACTTAAAATGGCAATCATTAAACTGTTAGACATTGATATTGATATGGGCGTATCTGTATGAACAAATTTTAGAACAAAAAGACACCAAGCTTCTCTTTAGTGTCTGACTTAGTAGATGACATTTAGAATTTCCTATCTGCTTCTGTATCCAATCTTTTGTGAAAACAGATGTCCTGGACAGCTCTTAATAAACTCCCTGTATGCTTGTGGTACATGAAGAAGACAAAAGTCATCTTGGTCTTCTGTGAAAACAGTCTCGATCTGTGAACGGACCTCCAAGTTCCCTAAGGATTCTTGGATAACACTTTGAACTTACTTAGCACCTGTGCTGACAATCATCTCAAGCCTAATTTAGAATACTTGAAATGGCTATAGTCCTTGTGTTTGATTTTCAATTTGATTCTTTTAGTAAAAAAAAATTGACATCTGTTGCACATTAATATCTTAAAAATTATTCCATTACTTGATTTTCTTTCCTAACTCCTTGAGGACGGAGTTGGGAGAAGATAGGCAGAAGTTACTGGTATTTGGCTGTAATGCTATACCTTGGAACATGCTTTAAGACATTAGTACGTGCTGACTTAAGATTTGATGGGCAAATCCACATAGTGTCACAGTCCAGGGTTCTGCAGGCTCTGGTCTGTCAGTTAGTAACTGTCAGGAGGTTGCAGCAGAATCTTAAGGAGATTCCTGGTGAGAGAGGCATGCACGTGTGTGTGTGTGTGTGTGTGTGTGTTGTGGTGCTAACTCTATCTCCCCTAGGAAAGGTGCAGGGCTGCGCTTGGGCAGTTTGCAGAGCGCTGCTCTAGATCATGCTGGTCTCCCCTCTGCTACCCATATCTTCTGTCTGCTAGCTTCAGATCCCACTTTCCACCCCTTTGGCCTATCTGGGAACCCCATGTAACCAAGCAGAGCAAATCTGTTGATACCATCTATAAGAGGAGGATGATTTTGTGTAATTTACCTACAGGGAGAGGTGAGTGATGGAGAACTTTATGAATTTGGCATCTGTGACTGGCCTGCTAACATTGGTCATAGCTTATTTCTAGCTGCTCATGATTGAAAATTAACTCCCCACTGCTTTTAGAGACTTGGAAGCACAGGGCTGAAGTCTGATATTTTCCTTATTTTGAGATGTAAACTGCAGAATATAAACATATGGCAGAGTCTGCAGCATTTCTCCAAATGTTCTCAAAATTTTTAAAGCATTTCCAGAATTGATGTCTATTTAATGGAAATAATTGGCATTCAGAAATCAGAATTTTGATCCTTTTATATACCACTAATTAGTTTTCTGACCTATGCACAACTCATTAAGTTCTCTCAGCATGTTTCCTAACTGGTAATATTAAACTGGGTAGGGCAAGGCATTGAGTAAAAGTTGATTTCTCAAGCTTCAAAATTGTGTCACTGAGTTTAACACAAGGGTTTAACACCTGCCTCTGGCTCCTGACTTTTTCATGCAGATACAGTGATACAGCAACAGTGATAGCTCAAGTTGGTGAGATCCTGCCGCCCATGTTGGAGACCTGGATTAAGTTCCTGGCTCACAGCTTTGTCCCTGGGCAGAGCTCATGCAGGCATTTGAGAAGTGAACCAGCAGATGGACAAAATCTGTCTCTTTCAGTCTCCATGCCTCTCAAACAAGTAAAAATTTCAAAATAAATAAAGCTGTGTCATTATACACTTTGGCAAACCCAGAAGGCTAGGCTACCATAGTATAACATTATTCATTTTAATCTTATACCTCTTGGAAAAAATAGTTAAGGTTGGGGCTGGTGCTGTCACATAGTGAGTAAAGCCACCACCTGTAGTGCCGGCATCTCATGTGGGCGCCGGTTCTGATCCAGCTCTCTGCTATAGCCTGGGAAAGCAGTAGAAGATGGCCCAAGTCCTTGGGCCCCTGCACCTGCATGGGCAACCAGGAAGAAGCTCCTGGCTTCTGCATTCAGATTGGTGCAGCTCCGGCCATTGTGGCCATCTGGGAAGTGAACCAGAGAATGGAAGACCTCTGTCTCCTCTCTCTCTCTGCCTCTGCCTCTCTGTAACTCTGCCTTTCAAATAAATAAATCTTTTAAAAAAATTGTTAAGGCTCTCAACTAGAAGAATACTTGGCATTTTACTGCATTTCCTGTGCTCAGTGCAGACACTTAGCTTAGACTTCTCAGATTTTTCTACTGTCATTGTGATTGTTACATTTCCTCTAAGATACCTGCAAGAGACTATATGTGAGAATATCCAGAAGACTAGCTCTGGTTGTGGGAAAATGAGTGATACTGCTGGTCATGATTACATGAGACCAGGGGGTCTTACTTAATGCTTGACTCATCTCATGGATTTTACAAAGAACTTTCAGCTGACTTTTTGTCTATATTTTTTAAATGTTGGTTCCCTTTTCCACTGTGTTGCAGTACCTACAGGCAGACTGTTCTCTGTTGCACTGTGTGCGACCACTAGCATGCTGCAGTTAGAACTGAGGGTCTCGTGCTTTATTAGTCACTTGGCAGTGATTTCTCCTCCTCATCACCATGCTGTCGTATTTCAGCCATGGTGATTGAGGGCTTCTGTGTTTTTCCTTTTTTGATTTTTTTAAGGTTTTCTGTGATTTATGAAGATTTCCAGTCTACTGTTATATGTACTCAGATAATTAGCAGTACAGAGTAAGGCGCTTTGGTCTCATATGTATGCTTTTGTTTCCATGTATATGCTTTGGAAATCATCGATGCTATCAAGTTATAAATAATAACATTTTCTCATGTTTAAAATTATTTTTAAGCCTTATGATTCTGCTGATGACTGGTCTGAGCATATTAGCTCTTCTGGGAAAAAATACTACTACAACTGTCAAACAGAAGTTTCACAATGGGAAAAACCAAAAGAGTGGCTTGAAAGGTATTTGCTTTTAATCTAGTTGATCTATATTTACCATTCTTGATTCTACAAGTTAATATTTTATGGTGTTATGCATTTGATTTTAGATTCCTTATTGAGACATCATCACTCCCTCTTTTAATTGCAGTTGTTGACCTGTTTACTGTGTTTTCTATCATTTGTCTTAAAATGTAGGAGAGCAGCTGCCCATAAGGTTCTTATGAGCAGTTAGTATATTTAATAAAATGCTTACATTATTAATCTCCATTTGTGCATTTCTGTTATAATTTATAATACAAGTTTGTAGAGCTTATGGGACAATCTTGCTCATGTCTTTTACATATGTAGAATTAATACTGTGAAGTTGTCTGTGGTTTAAATAATTGGTATACTTTTGCCATCATGAAGAAACATTAGTGTTCTGTGTGCTTACCTCCATACCGGATAAATTATAGACCATATTCAGTTCTTTGATTTTGTATATACTGTTTGAATATTTGGCAGGAGCTATTATGGGTACCCATGTCCTTGATGTGATTTTTATGGGCTTATCTATTTTCTATTTTTTTTTTTTAGAGAACAGAGACAAAAAGAAGCAAACAAGATGGCAGTTAATAGCTTCCCGAAAGATAGAGATTACAGAAGAGAGGTGATACAGGCAACAGCCACTAGTGGGTTTGCCAGTGGAAGTAAGTATTAATTTTGTCTCTAACCACTGTAATGTTGGATTATTCCTGTCATTCATACATCACAAATCTGTGCATTGCTATGCATTAATTAAAGTAAATAGAGCCAGCACTCTGCTTAGTCTTTCCTACCCAGCCTCCCGCGGTTTGTTTCTTGAGAAATGAAGGGTACACAGTAGAATAGGACATGCGTGCCTATCTCACCACCCATAGTGACTACAATGTGATCAGGATGGTAGATGATAATATCTTATGTTTGGGATTGGCTTTTCTATCCAGATACAAAACTGAATGGATTTCAATCCAGTAATTGAATCATGGGTACAGGCATAGTGATATAATGACTGTTATCAATGAGAAACTTGTCTGTTTGGATGTAGATAGTTTAACTCAGGATTTTTTACTTACAGTGGCCTAAGTGTATACCCATACAATCATTTTTGTTTCACTTTCAGTGCAGTTCAATAAATTACATGAGGCAGTACTTTACTATAAAATAGGCTTTGTGCTAGATGGTGCTCTTCTGTCCCCTCCCTGCCCCCTGCCGTAGGCCATAGGGTACTTTTAAGTGTTCTGAGCATGTTTGAGGTGGGCTAGGCAAAGCTGTGATTTTTGGTAGGTTGGGTGTTATTATATGCATTTTCAATTTAATGATCTTTTCAACTTAACAGGTTTGTCAGGGTGTAACCCCTTTGTAAGTGGAAAATATGTGCATTTCTCCCTGATCCTAGGTCTGTCTGACATCTCTGTGTGGAGCTTGTACAACAGTAATAAAAATGCTTCCTAAAAAACTTTTATAGAGCCCTTTGTTCTAAGGTACTCGTTTATAAACCAAATTGTAGGCATGTCCTACTGTTCTTTTGAAAGCAAATTTAATGCAAATAGAATGGTTTTTAGCGAACATTATACATTTGTTTTTTGATTTGTTTTCTAAATTTGAAGTTTCACTTGAAGATATTCTATTCCCAGTGTTGTCTTCTGCCCAGAATGAAATTTAAATTTCATGTAGAATGCTTGAGTTCTTTACTGAGCTTTGGGTTTGAAAAGAATTTAAAAATGATGGGTTCTGGAAATTCTTAGACTTGAGCATTTGAATCCTGCTTCTGTAACTTAACAAAAACTAGGGGTGTGTTTTGATTTTAGGAAGGAATGCTGATTATTTGGGGGAAAATTACTTAAGATAAAACATAATTCTGGATGACTGTTCAAAATGTTCTCCTAGGAACATTAAAATTTTAAATTTATTAATGAAATTGTACTCAGTTTTTAGAAAACATTGATTTAAAGTAACTGGAAATTAAAGAACACTATTTTGTGACAGAAGACTTGGGTTTCATATTAAGTAATTGACTTTTGGCAAACAAAAGCAAGACAGCACACCTCCTCACACCCCCTTGTTTGAGAGACAGAGAATGCTTCCATCTGCTGGTTTTTCCCTGAATGTCCTCAGCCTGCACTGGGCATTGCCGAAGCCTGGGGCTAGGCACTCTGAGTCAGCTCTCCCACACTGAGTGACAGAGGCCCCACACTGAAGTCTTCGTCACTCTGCACAGGATCATTGGGATCTGCACAGGAGGCTTTCCTTTTGAAGTAAATGAGTAGCACCCAGCTTCCGGGCATTCTGATCAAACTGAGGGGGTACACACATAGAGGATTATTGTGAGATGAAAAACACCCCCCCCCTTTTTTTAAGTAAGTAAAGATGTGTTGGCACAGCAGGTGTCTTGTCCTGCTGGCTAGATCCTGAAGTTGTACAACACTGGATTGGGCCAAGCTTCTTTATTTAGTGGGTGAGGATCCCAAAGAGAAGAAAGAGCAGAGCCTAATATCTTTTTTTGAAAATAACCCCTTTCCCTTTGGGTGTAATAAATGAAGGGAGAAATTATCAAGATCTGACAGAAAGTTAAAATAACTATTTTTATGTTTTTAAATTGTTTATCGGTATGCATCTGTTTCTTAGACTCAGTAGTTTTATTGCTTTTTTCTTTATGACCTTTTAAAAAAGATTTGAAAGGCAGAGTTATATCAAGAGAGAGAGAGAGAGATCTTCCATCCACTGCTTCATTCCCAAATGGCTGCAGTGTCTGGGCCAGGCCAAAGCCAGGAGCTTCATCCAGGTCTCATGAGGGTGGCAGGGGCCCAAGCATTTGTATACCACTGCTTTCCCAGGTGCGTTAGGAGAGAGCTGAATGGGAAGTGGAGGAGCCAGGATTTGAGTTGGCTCTCTGATCTGAGATGCTGGTGTCACAGGCAGTGGTTTAACCTGCTGTGCCACAACACCAGCCCCTTCTTCATGATTGCAAAGGAAGGCATTTTTATTTAAAAAAAAAATTAGAGGACAGGTAAGGTTTTTTTGTTTTTTTTTTTAAACCCTAAGACATAGTAACATTTTGGGAATTATCCCTTTTTTGTTTGTGCATATAAATTTGTGTTGAAATTACGTATGTATCTTTTATACCAAAAATGGGATTGTATATTACTGGCTTTGAGTTGTTTTACCCCCAGTAATATTTCAGGGCCGTGTTTTTATGTGCATTTTTAATTGTATATTTGCTCTCTTGTCTGCCCAGAATTGCATTGTTTTGTACCTTCTTTATCCGTGGACATGTGGGTAGTTTTCATCCTTTTCTGCTATAAATGAAATTGTGGTTCTTACCTGCGCACTTAAGCTGATTCCTAAGCAAATGAGGGTTTAGTGGGTCTGTGGCCATGTTGAAATGAAATTCTGCTCTAACACCTTTTTTCCTTGGCATTTAAAAATGGTTGAGAAGGGACTTCACTTTGTATCATTGCTTTTTCCTTTTTAATGATCAAGTGAGCTGTAGTTGCTGTGGTGGTAATGGTCAGTAAGCCATTTAAGTGTTTGAGTTTGCCTATCAAAAAGTGTTGGTGGTTTTCCTGTATGTCCAATCCATAGGGTGAGGCTGAAAACCTGTTGGTGACTACCCACAGAAGTGTGATGGCTAAGAGGGGGAAGGCTTGGGAAGATACATTAAGTTTTGAAGGATATGTTAGTACAACTTGACATTGAAAAGCTTATGAGTAGAATGTTTCCACTCTAAACTGTGGCTTGTTAGAGTGAATGCTGTCTGTTTTGAGAAACCTTGTTGGGGTTTCTCTTAGCATTAGTGGCATTTTTAAGTCTGGCAGGTCTTGGTTGTGGGAAGCTGTCTTGGTGTACGTTGTGGAACCCAACACCCTGCGTGTACTTGCTAGGTGCTAGCAGCGTATTCCCAGGGGGCTGTTTACACACAATTAGCTACCTCAGTGCCTTCTGTTTAGAGTTGTGATAGCAGGCTGTGTGGCAGTGGCTTCCTTGGATCCTGTAATGCCCCCCCACACTGCTTTTTAACACTTAGAAATAGTACAAGTATGATTTTTAATGTTCATCTTGAGTATATTTAATACATTTGACTATAGCCTATGAACTGGAAATGTAATTTTCTTAGTCAAGAAAACGAAAAGTTCTAGGTAGTAAAGTGGTAGGACTGTGGGTGATATTATTCCTATTCAAACAGAAGGTTTCTATTGTAATAAGAACTCTGGAATAAGACTGAGTATTTTATGTCCATGGAGGTTGATAGTTTACGATGCAATGGCATTACAGGCTGGGATACCTAAGGCTACTAATTTCATATATTGTCACTGTTAAAAGACCTTGGGTTTTGATGTGATTGGCATTTTTTGACTATCCCAATGCCTTTTATTGTGTTACGACACAGTGGTTGTGTACCGTCAGATTTAAAATTGACTTGCAGTGTGAGTGTGTGGCTTTCTTTGCTATATTGGTCTTTGAATTGGAAAAAGCAGTAGTGAATGGGAGTGGTGGAGCATCATATACTGGAATGTTAGTGTTTCCTTGATTACTTTAAGTCCAGTTACTGATTGGCATTTTGGAGTTCAGGGTAGAGACTTTTTTGGTAAATATAACCTTAGTGAACATGATTGTCCAGATTTTCCTTTTGTCATGGTGTTTTGTGGAAACAGTGCTTCCCATCAATTTATGGATAGAGCTTAGACTTTTCAGTGCCTATTTCTGAATTAAAAATTTCTTTTGGTTTTAGATTTAAGAGAGAATCTGTTTTAATGTAATCGGTGATACCAGTTTGTAGGATTTCTATTTTCAGATAGCATTATCTGAAAGTAACATGATTTTGTTACTCTGGGTTTGTTAGTATTAAGAAAGCTTAATTAGTTTACACACTAGATGGTTTGCTCAGTCATCTTACATGAGGCCATTTACATTCTGCCATAAACTACTTTAGAGCTGCTGTTTAGTACCATAGTATTTAGAGGAATCAGGCTGATAAAGCTGATATTTCTTTGCAGTTAAACCACTGTGGATAATTTAATCTGAATTTATGTTCATTACACTAAATTTTTTTTTTCCTCAGTGAAGATATCCATGTTACTCATGTTGAGCTTCCTGTTTTCTGGTTTTTTTTTGTTTTTGTTTTTGGACAGGCATAGTGCACAGTGAGAGAGAGAGAGAGAGAGAGAGAGAGAGAGAGAGAGAAAGGTCTTCCTTTACCATTGGCTCACCCTCCAATAGCCACTGGGACCTGCGCACCGCAATGATCCAAAGCCAGGAGCCAGGTACTTCCTCCTGGTCTCCCATGCGGGTGCAGGGCCCAAGCACTTGGGCCATCCTCCGCTGCACTCCCAGGACACAGCAGAGAGCTGGCCTGGAGGAAGAGCAACCGGGACAGAATCCAGTGCCCCAACCGGGACTAGAACCCAGGGGTGTCGGTGCCACAGGCGGAGGATTAGCCTATTGAGCCGCAGCACTGGCCTGTTTTTTTTTTTTTTTAATATTTGTTTATTTGAAAGAGTTACAGAGAGAGAGCTTCCATCCGATGATTCACTCCCCAGATGGCTGCAATGGCCAGAGCTAAGAACTCCTGGTCTCCCACATTGGGGGGCAGGGGCCCAGGCACTTGGGCCATCTTCTGCTTTTCCCATCAGCAGGGAACTGGATCAGAAATGGAGCAGCTGGGACACGA